GCATTGGAGATTATTTAAAAGAATTTTTTTATTATTCTCATCTTTATGAAATTTATTTATTTAAAAATTAAATTAAGGTGTTACAAAAATGCTTAAGAAACATTAATCAAGTAGATAAAACTTGGTAAAAAAAAAGAAGAATCTCACAGTGAAACATGAAGTGTAAATATTAATTTAATTAACTCTGAGAATATAAATCTAAGGAAAAAAATTATATGCCATTTTTTAAAATAATGGAGAGTAAGTTAAGTGAATATCTCTATAGTTATAACTTTTATATAAAAAGATATTAAGCGAACCTGTTACTGTAATCTTTCTTTTTTTTTAAATTTTGTCAATTGTACTTATGGATTTTGAATGGATTAAGATTCTCTCATGTAATTAGATGGTCCCGTAAGTGTATTTTACACTTTTGCTTAAGCAAATAATTTCTGCTTAAGTGAAAGTATAAAATTATACTTGATTGAACTATTCAATTTATGCTAAAATAAGAAAAAATTTCAATACATTTTGAATAAGTTATAAACTTATCATCTATTAAAGGAGAAAATTAGATCGAATCATAATCTTAAAAGTAACAATGTGAAAGGAAATTTGGTTTTATGATTTTTATGACTTTCAATTCATTTTATAATTTTTGTTTTAAATTAGTAGCATATAAATAAGTGTGCATGTAATACAAATCAAATAAAAAGAAAATTCTATTTAGTATGAGATGCTAATAATTTAATTGTGTTTTCATCTTATGAATAACCTTGTAATACATTTCCATTGTCATGTTTTTATCCTTGAGTAAATTATCAAGTTATTATTTAAGTGAATTTTTAGAGAAATTTTTATATATAAAAAAATTAGTATAAGATAAAGCTTGAATAAACTTGTGGATAAGTGCTTGTAAAAAAAATAATATAAAAAATAAATAAAGTTTATTTTATATGTTATATTTATTTATACTTTTTTATTTTAAAAAATACTCTCATTTATTTTTTTTAAGACTTAAAAAAATAAATTATTTTTAACTTATATAAAAAAATTTATTTACTTTTTATATTATTTTCAATCTTAATAAAATCTATTCACAAACTTAAAAGCATGACCTAAATAATAAATATTTTTTTAACTTATTTTTAAAATTTTAGAAAAGTTAAATAATATTTTTTTTAAAAAAAGTATAAATTGTTTTTAATTTATACAAGAAGTTTTGTTTATTTTTTATATTAATTTTTTTAAAAATTTTAAAAATTAAGTTGTTGATGATCAGTCAAAGTTTTCTTACTTTGAGGATGTACATTGATTTCAATGTGCTTAATTTTTTTTCTGTAATTATAATTCTTCACTTCAATATATTATTATATTATGATTTAAAAAAAAACCTTAATATTTATAAACAAAGTTAGTAAACTGATCCTTTAATTTTATTTTTAAATTTAGTTTATTTTTTTTTCTCAAGTTAATTCTTTTATTAGTTAAATATAAATCAAGCAAATGGATTATGCAACGGAACTAGACTGATTGTTAATCAATTGAAAAGAAATATAATTATAGTCAATGACAAAAATTTTCTAATATTGGTCTTTACTTATCAAGGCAAGTGTTTTCTCATGATCAATTATACGTTGCTATCTCAAGAGTGAGAAAGAAAGATAGATTTAAAATATTGATTTTAGATGAAGATGAGAAGCTAACCCGATTTACATTAAATGTAATATTTAAAGAAGTTTTTGACAAAATATAAGATATTTAAATATTACTTAATGTTATTTAAATTTTGTTTACTATATTTCTTATATATTTTATTGTTATTATGTGAAAATAATTACTAGATAAAATATAATTTTTTCACATAAATTAACAAGAATATATTTATTAAAGAATCATATATTGAAGTTATTTATGTATTATCCAACTTATATTTATTAAAATAGTTAGAATTAGTAAATATATTTACCTTATTTAATTAACTTTCACATAAAAAATAAGAAAACAATAAAGTTTACTTTAATAATGAAAATAATTTCTATATTGACTAATTGTCAATTATAAAAATAAAAGCTAACGAAAATCCACTTACTACAAACATGTCTAATATCAAAATTTATTTTATTTATATTATTGTAAAATAACAAGATCAAAATGTACTTTATTTAAACAATAAAAATTAGTTGATATATTTATATTATTAAATTAATTTCTTTGTCAAAGAATGAAAAATTAATTATATTATATAAATAATAATAAATAATAAATAATCACTAATGTATATTTGATTTGTTATATGTTTATATGACAAATATATGTTGTATAAATATATATTTTAAGTCAAAATTATTGACATAATATTTATTATTATATTATATATTATATATTATTAACAAATATTCTTTTTGTTTTATGATAAAATAAAAACACTTATTTTAATAATTATAGTAATTTTATAATACAATAAAATTAATGATAATAATGTCATCTTTTAAATATTAGTGATATTAATATAATTTTTTTAAAATTAATTTCTTTATTAAATAGTAAGAAAATAATTATATTTATATTAATAATAATAAATATCATATAACAATCCATGTATATTTGATCTGTTATATTTTTATGTAAAAAATTTTACTATATAAATATATACTTTAAGTAAAAATAATCAAAAAAATATACATTATTATATTATATATCATACATTATTATTAAATAATTTTTTTTATTTTATGACAAAATAATAACGTTTACTTAAATAATTATAATAATCTTAATTTTATTTTTACTATTCTAAAATAATATGATTAAAATGTATTTTATTTTAATGGTAAAAATAATTAATTTATATTATTAAATTAATTTTTTTAATAAAGAGTGAAAAAGTAATTATATTTATATTAATAATGATAAATAAAATATAATCACTAATGTATATTTAATCTGTTATATATTTATATGATAAATATATGTAAATTAAATTATTGAATAATTAAAATTTATTTTATAATTTTTTAATAATAAAAAATTTAAAATTTAATATTATAAATTATTCCGTGCATTGCACATGGTCCATACTAGTATATATATATATAATTAATAATCATTTCATAAAAATTTTGTACAATTAAAAATTCATATTTTAATTTTCATATTAATGTTTTATTATGTTTTACTTTGTGTTATTAGTAGTGTTACAATAATATGGAGCAAAAGGTAACAAAATATTTGTATAAAAAATATAATTTTTTAAAATATAAAAATTAAATTGTAAGCAATAATTAACTAAAGAGATTAAATATATATTTAAATAAAAAAATTAAAAATTTTGGTAGACTTATTTAGAGAAATTTTTAAATAAAATATAAAAAAATTAGGAAAATTTAAGAGACTAAAGTTACATATTTAAACAAAAGATCATTATTTATACTCAAATGTCATACATATTAATAGATAAAACTTTTATTGATTTAAAAAAATATATATATCAATAAAAAAAGTACTAAAAATAGAGTTAACCAGATACTAAAAAAGGTCACATGTGGTAAAAGTTATTTTATCATATTTTTTTAAAAAATGACTAGATGTATTTAGATATTTTTTATAAATAAAAAAAACATAATTGATAGAAAAAAAATTAGAAAGATTAATAAATGAGATTTTAAATTAATACAGCAAAAATTGTTTATATATATCATGATAAAAAATTTAAGAATTTTCTTATATAATAAAATTAATTTTTTAAAAATTTTAAATATGAGTCTAATTTTATATTCTAAATATAGTATTTCTATTCATAATTTTTTTCAAATATTTTATGGAAATTAATATGTTATATAAAAAATATATTAAATATAATAGCCAAAAATTATATATAATGAAAATATTAAAAGTCAATACTTTTATGCTTCATATAAAATAATGATAAAAGGTAAACATATAAAATAGAATAAAAATTATTTATTAATTAACAATTAAATGTGTTGTAATAATAATATTGAACTGTAATACATGTCTTTTTTCAACTAAATTTAGTGTTTTATATATTTTTTAAATTATAATTAATTAAAATATATATATTTAGTTTTTACAAATAATATTTATTTTTAAATTAGTTTTTATATTTTAAATACATTTATGTTTTAATTATTTTATAAGTATTTTATTACATTTTAATTTTTTTTAATATTACCTGTTCATATGAATAAAAAATAAAATATACATTTAAAATATAAAAACTAATTTATAAATAAATATTAACTATAGTAATTAAATATATATCCAAAAAATATTTTTTAAATTAAATCATCTTAATTTATATAATCAATAAAATACAATGAAATTTTAAGACTAAATTAATACATTGATGACAAGCACAAGCCTTTAAAAGTTTGATAATTATTGTCAAAATATATAAATTCTATGATTGAAGTAAAATCATACAAGAACAATTTGTTTTAACTTCTCATTTTGATAAAAGAAACTGTAAAATGAATATGTTAATCAAATTTTAACATTTAAAAAAAAATTATTTGATTAACTTCAATAACCATTAAAATAAAAAAAGAAACATTTTAAAAAAAATTAGAGTTTAATAACAATAACAATTAATCTTCATATAATCTTTCATTTTAATTAAAAATTTCTCAATTTTTCTTATGTCCGTAGTAATACTATAAATCTTTTTTTAATCAATTTTGATAATTACTAAAATATCTGAATATTAAATTTTTAATATTATTATAATAAAATAAATAACTTGAAATGAGTAAACGTTGAAAAATAATTTAAATAAAAAGTTTTAAAATAAATTAAAATTTTAAAATGAAGTTAGAGAAGTAAATAACTAGTTTTGTGTTAGTTTTAAGCCTCAATCTCCCATGTTTACTAAAATAAAAAAAAGTGAAATCATATTTAATTTTATAAATAATTATAAAATAGAAAAAATGAATTGTTATTACTTATTAATAAATTAATGTAAAAAGAGGAAAATTTAAAATCCCACCTCCTCCCCACAAATGATCCGCACCTCCTCCCCCTTAGAAGCAACTCAGTGAGTCAAACTGGTGGACCCCTCGTCTCCATCCACCTCCACTCCCTCCGTTCCCCATTCCCCTTCTCAATCAGAATCATCTCTGTAATTCTCCCCAAAACCCTAACCCTAACCCTTCCCTTCAATTCCACCCCAATTCCCATGGACTCCACCACCAACGTCTTGCCGGATTCCCAAAACGACGGCAGCAAAACGCAGCCGCAGAGAGTGAACGGTTACATCGTCTACACTAGAAGAAAGAGGCTCAAAACCAAGTGTGAAAGCCAAGTTCATGAAAACGATGCCGTTGCAAATGCGGATAGCAAATTGGAATTGAAGACGTCGAAGAAGATCATCTTGGTCAACAAGAAGCCAATGACCGTCAAAGAACTCTTCCATACAGGTTTGCTTGATGGGGTTCCAGTTGTCTACGTCGGTTGCAAGAAGGTTCGTTTTCATTTTTTCTCATCTACACTGCAATTTTATTTTTTATTTTTATTTTTTTTCTAATATAATAGATTGTGCTACGTGTCCAAACCATATCTTAATTTTGTTTTGGAAAATGTACTTCGTTAATGACTGTACTTGTTGAGTGAGAAATTGCCCAACCTGTTGGAAAATGCGTTAATAAAAGTGAATATTTTCAATAAACGGTCATTTGGCTAATCCAATCATATTTTAAGTACTTACAGCTTAATTAATTATAATAATAGGGCCAAACTTTCTTTGGTGAGATACTATCACATTTAAATAATCCCACTAAGAAATAAATTCTTAATTCACTAAAACTAGTTATATTTTATAAGTTACATTTTTTTTATATCTATTAATAACTTTTTATAAAATAAAGTTTGATGAATTCAAGCATATGTTATCCAAAATTTAATATTTATTTATATTTAAAAATATAATATTTGATAAAATAAAATAATGCAATAAGGTACTAATTAATTTTGTTTTTGTATAAAATTTTATAAAATTAACTTATTTGATAAGAATATTTAAATTAATGGTTGGATTGGTCAAAATTACGTTTTATAAAAAGTTAATAAGTGAGGTAAATGTTCAAATTTAGTGTGAACACTTATACTTTATAAATTTATACTCTATTAAAAAAATATTCATAATATTAAGTGATTAAATTGGTTTTAATGTATCTATTTATATAGCTAATAAGTGAATATGTTGTTAATATCAATCTTATAATTAAAAGTATAAAAAATAGTAATTAATTCAGTTGAAAATATATTTTTATTTCTTATAATTAGGAGAAAAATATTGATAGATGTTTTTTTATAAATAGAATAGAAGAAAACACTGTGAATTGCGACTATTAAACTCTTATTATAACCTTTTATAAACAGGCTTGACTGAATGTAACATTATTCCTAATTATTATCCGTATTCTTTTTGCCGGTGGTGACTAGTTGTCAATTTTGAAGTGTTTTTGTGGAGAAATGTACTGCTCCCACAGTTTTGTAATTAATATTGGTGCTTTGTGATTGTAGGCTTCAACTTCGGGATTGCGGGGTGTAATTAGAGATGGGGGGATATTGTGCTCATGCCATCTGTGCGATGGACTCAGAGTGAGTTATTGTGGGTACTCAGTGGTTTCTTTGGTTTAGATTGCTCTTTCATTTGTTTTTCATTGTTCCTTTTGCCCATGTAGGTTATTCCACCTTCTCAATTCGAGATTCATGCTTGCAACACATATAAGAGGGCAGCGGAGTATATTTGCTTTGAAAATGGGAAGAGCCTGCTTGAACTATTGGGAGCTTGCAGGGCAGCTCCCCTCCATACTTTGGAGGCGACCATTCAAAATTTTGTTTGTTCTCCGCCTGAGGAAAAATATTTTACTTGCAGAAGTTGCAGAGGTAAGATCTTTGCTTTTATTATTTAGGATTGTTTGGTTGATATGATAGAAGAAATGGTAGAATATGATAATTAAATAAGAACATGATAGGATAAGAATATGAGCCTTTATCTTAGTTTAATTTTTATGCAAATAAAGAGAACAAATTAGATATGTTATGTTAAACATTTTGAATTCAGTTTTTCCTATTGAATAAAATTTACATTAGAGAGGTGAATAAAATAAGTCCATAAGATAGTCTTATCATATCTGATTGGTTGAATAAATGTTAGAATAGGATAGAGAGTGATATGCCCATAGGTCGAGAGGAGTGCATGTTGGGTTTATTGATCGAGTCCAAACTAGTGGCCCATGCCCACTGGCTTAAATAAACAAGGACTTGTGGCTGATGCAGGGTATTATATGTGAAGGGTTGCCTCTTTACTATAACTTAAACTTTTGATATGGTACGTGCTCTTGGTCATGTCAAAGAGTCATGATGTTCTTGTTTTTGACTTGGCACGCTAATCATAATTTTTTTGTTAAAACCAAAATATAAACTTAAGATTAGTGTTTATTTTGTTATTTTTTTGGTTGATTGCCTTTGGAAGCTTATTTGTATTATTATTACTATTACTATTATTATTATTCGCATAGGATGTTTCCCTTCTTCCAGTGTGGAAAGAGTTGGGCTTATATGCCGTTCTTGCATGGAATCAAAGAAATCCGAAGACAGTTGTCTTCATGTAGTTGGCAAAAGAGTCAGGTATTCATTTCTTCTGCCCTTTGGGGGGTTTATTCAGGGTTGTGACTAAAAACTTTGGAGCCTTACACAAAATTATTAGAGCGACTTAAAACAATATAAATTATTAATTCTCATATTATTTTTTTAATGTTTTGAACCATGAAATCATTCGCATAATTTTATAAATAAGAAATTCTTAAATTTCATTCTTAATATCGTAATAGACAATGCAAAAATGATTGTTAATATAAAAAAAAAATGAAATTAAAACTACTTAAATTTTATTTGCAATTAACTATGTTACAAGCAATTTAATTAGAAAGAATATAATTAATAATTTGAAGTAGTTTAATACTTATATTGGTGTTTTAATTTCCTTTACCTTTAACATATTTTTTAATATCTTCAATTTTAAAAATAAATTAAGATCATCAGAAGAGTATGAAGATAGATAGGAAAAGGAAGAAAGGAACTAGTGAACTATGAAAATTTGGATAAAAAATTTCAAAATTTTGTAAGATAAATAATGAAGAAAATAATTATATTTAAAAATTGTCGCTGGCTTTACTACCAGTGTGTATGGTTGAACCACCAAGGTTATAAAATTTCACTGTAAAACAAAGGTGACGTAATAAGATAAATTAAGCGAACAAAACAAAATCTGACTAGAAATATCTTTTTTCTAGTTTAAGATGAAAATGAAATCGGTTCAAAATGTTGAAATCATATGGATGATGCAGTGAAGAAATTTTGAACCCTTTGCCCTCTGGCTTTTTCTTTCATCATTGTATTACAATGTTCCAGGTTCCCTCGGCCAGCGCTATTCTCCAGAGCATGTTGTACTTCTGAACTGTGTATCTCTTCACAAACTAAAAGACACTGGAAGACAAGAACAAAGTTAGTGTCTCTGTCTAATTCATCTGTACTGTGTATGATGCAAATTTGTATAAGTTTTTGCTTAACAATTTTGCACTGACTAATAAACTGTGCTGTGTATAAATTTTGTTAACTTTAATGCTCTTGACCTGTTATAAAATCATCAAAATTGGTTAGCATCCAGAGTGCTTTTATGCCTATTTTATTCCGCAAGAAAGCTTGTGTAGGATGGAGACAAAGTCTGTACCTGGATTTATTTTTAGTATTCTTGATGTAGTTAAGACAACATAATTGTACATAAAATTATTCACAACCAAGTATTTTTTCCTCCCATTTTTTTGTAATCAGTTATTATTACCAGGTCATCAAAACTGTCAGTAAAATTGAAGACTGCTCCAATCGCTTCAAATTCGAAGTGTTTATCTCCCCAAAACAAAAGTCAGTGGAGGATCACCAAAAAGTTAGTTCCTTTCTGCCCCTTGTGTGTATATTTCTGGCTGTAATTTTTTAATCACTCTTTGGTGATGAAATTAATTATTTGTTCTACCCATATATTCTTCTCAAGGCATCAAAGATTGAATAAATTAATTTTTGAAGAAGATGGATTGCCTAATGGAGCTGAAGTAGCTTATTATGCACGAGGGCAGGTTGTTTGTGTGTGAATTTCATGTACAAGTTATTGTATGTCTGTTACTCTGTTAACTGTAAATTATGTTTGACAGAAATTGCTTGAGGGTATCAAAACGCAATTTGGAATTGTTTGTCGATGTTGCAACACTGAGGTATTTTTTCTTACTTTTGTCTTGTTTGTTAAATGCTGTGGGTCATTTTAAATGTCGATGCTGCAACACCTCAGGAATTTCTAAGTTGTATGGATAATGCTTTCAATTTTCAATTGTTAAATGTTGTGCAGATCAGCCCCTCACAGTTTGAGGTCCATGCAGGGTGGGCTTCTCGCAGGAAACCGTGAGTTTTCTTCTTGTCATGTTGCTTGGGAGGGGGAAAGGGAGATGTGGGTCAAGGTTGTGTGGGATGAATATTCAGATGCTTTTTGAATTGCTTGTTTGTACCCATAAATTTTCATGGCAGTTGAACGTATTTGGCAGGTATGCATACATCTACACGTCAAATGGGGTGTCTCTCCTAGAGTTAGCAATATTTCTCTCAAAAGATCGCAAATGCACTGCAAAATGTAATGATGATGTATGCATTGTTTGTTGGGATGGTGGTAACCTGTTGCTCTGTGATGGATGTCAAAGGGCATTTCATAAAGGTAGATTTAAATAGCCAAAAAGTTGATGGACAAATCATCTAGTTTCTACTGCATGTGGAATCATTTTTCCCCCTAATATTTTAATCCTCTAACTCTGATAAGAAGTACTATATTATCTGTATTGAAGTCAAGATATAAGAGATGCAAGAGTTTCTATACAATTCTATTCCCTGGGATGCAAACATAAGAAAAAGCTCCTTTACAGCTCTACAGTTGAGCTTGTCTATAAAATGCACAAGTATACACCCTTGAATTTTAGTGGGTTATTATCACATATAATTTAAAAAATTAAGTTACTTGAAAGTAGCTAGAGGAAAATGCTTGTTTATATATTATTGGCTTACTTTAATATTCTTTAACCTAATCCTTTGTTAAATGCCTTATGAATTGTTACATGCTGCAAGATATGTTTTCGAAATGCTTAGAAGTTAGCATAAATTTCATTTGTCTAATATAATTGATGGATGGAATTATTTATCCAATAGAATTTGTACTTCGACCATGCTTTCAGGCTGGCTGATTATACATTGCTTTCCAAAGGTATTAATTTATTAAGGATTAAATATGTTTTAAGTCCTTATATGTTCACAAGTTTTTGGTTTCTTGTCCTTCCAAACTTTTTTTTATAATTTTGGTTCTTGATTTTTCTAAATTTAGTACTTTTGGTCCTTAGTATCTATTGAATGATGATGTGACTAAGAATATAGTGTCAATTTTTTGTGGGGTCATCAATAAGAGGGACTAAATCCAAAAGTTCCTGAAACTATAGGGACCTGAAAAAAATATAGGGATTAAAACCAAAAACTTGCATAAACATAGATACTATATATATATATATATATATATATATATATATATATATAAGCCAATTATTAATCTTCAATTATAGAACTACATGAAGTTTGTATGCTTTTCCAAAAAATTTGTTTCATGATTTACTTGATTGGAAACAGCAGTTCTTTATGAAGAATATTATCTTTGTATGACAAATTACAACATAGTCATCTTCTAAGTGAATTTATGTGTTCCAATGTTTGGAAATGTACAGAATGTGCATCTGTATCAAGTATTCCACGTGGTGACTGGTACTGTCAAATTTGTCAACACATGTACCTTGGAGAAGGGTCTATGTTATACAATGCTGATGCTGTGGCTGCTGGAAGGGTTGAAGGAGTTGATCCTATTGAGCAGATTGCCAAGAGATGCATTCGCATAGTAAAAGACATTGAAGCTGAGATGGGTGGATGCATTTTATGCAGGTGATAATTAGTTTATATAAAATTAGCAACAGTCACCATGCTTTTACCTCTATTCAAGTTTAATCACAGATTGATGTTATAGACTCTAGATTTTCATCTTTATATATTATTTAAAAAAATTATGCATGTAGGGCTTCTGACTTCAGCAGATCAGGCTTTGGCCCACGCACAATTATAATCTGTGATCAGGTATGCATTCTAAACTAATATTATTTTGAAACACATAGAAAACTCCAGTAACGTCAAGTTCTCTTGTTTGAAGAAGGGTATGATCAACAATAATTTGTCCTTTGTTATTGATGATGCAAGTATCTAACTCAAGAGATCGATTTGATTATACTGAACTAACTTCATGTTGTTTTTCCTGAAACCCATTTCTACCCTCCTTCTTTGTTGTAGTGTGAAAAGGAATATCATGTTGGCTGTTTGAGCGATCATAAGATGGCATATTTAAAGGTACATACAGTGTTGCTATGTCTTCATATGTGGATACATTAGTTTGGACACTGACTTCACTTTTGTCCATTGAACATATGTCTGGAACCAATGACAGGAGTTGCCAGAAGGGGATTGGCTTTGTTGCAATGATTGCACAAGAATACATTCTACTTTGGAGAATCTCCTGGTTAGGGTGGCTGAGAGACTCCCTGAATCTCTTTTGGATGTTATAAAGAAGAAGCAAGTGGAAAGATGTGTAGAACCGCCTAATGAGTTTGATGTAAGATGGAAACTTCTTAATGGAAAAATTGCTTCTCCTGAAACCAGGCCATTGCTTTTGGAGGCTGTGTCAATGTTTCATGTAAGTTCTGTCTGCCCTTATAATTGCTTCATCATTATCATGATCTTCTTTTTCTCTGTCATCATCATTTATTCTATCCTTAAGAACTCCTTCATTATCATTATTCTTGTAATTTTCTTCTTCTTCCTTTTCTTTGGTTAGATGAAGGAGATAATCCCTGTTTGTTCCCCAACAAATGGTAGAGTAGCTTTGCATTTTTATTATTAATGGTGCTATTTTTTTTTTCACTAAATTGATTCTTTTTCATCGCATGCCTTCAGCATGTGATTTAACAGTCACTGGAAAGCTTATTTATGAATCCATTTTTAGGAAAGTATTGAAATGTTTTGCCTTCAGCATAAAAACATGTTCATGCATTTATGATTTGTGGGAATTTATTCCCTCACAGTTTCTGTTGGATTGGTTTATGCCAGTGTATTTACCACTCTTGCACCATTCAATAACTTAATATAAAAGTGGCTTTGGTTTATACCAGTGTAAACTAATCCATTAGCGAGAGGATTATTACATGAGAGAGTGAGTAAACATAGACCATTAATTATACATGAATAGCTAAAATTAAATTATAAAAGTCATATGACTTTTTTAAATAGTCATATGTGACCTTTGATTTTGACCATTATTGTAAGATCTATAGGTCTACATTTACTCCTCTTTCTCATACATCAGTATGTGTATATTTGTGTCTACATTTTATATAAGTATTGCTTAGGGTTCAGGGCATTTGTTTTGTGTATGTTGCGCATGTAATGATGTGTTACAAACTTACAATGTCTATCTCTGCTGTAGGTAATGATGCCTTTCTATTTTTGTTCGGGAAAACCCTTTTAGTTCATAAGATTATTAAAAGAAAAAAATTCGATACAAGTATTGGGCTTTTTGGTCTTTAGAGATCTGTTGCATGTTTCAGGAATGCTTTAATCCTATAGTTGATGCAGTTACTGGACGTGACCTTATTCCTGCCATGGTTTATGGGTAAAAAAAATCCTGTTAGAACATTTGTTTGCTTTTCATTTTTCTCTTCAATTTCTTTCTCCTTTTTGTCTAAACTAACATATTATTCATTTACAGAAGGAATTTGCAGACTCAGGATTTTGGAGGAATGTATTGTGCATTATTGATTGTCAAGTAAGGAGTGGCTTTCTCTATTTAACTTCTATTGTTTCATATCATTCTTACAGTACTGTTCACATTTTGTTTCCTTGACATTGAAGTTCATCTGTGGTATCTGCGGGTATGCTTCGAATTTTCGGTAGTGAAATTGCAGAACTCCCTTTAGTTGCAACGAGATATAAGAACCGTGGACAGGTGCGAGACTGTGCTACTAACTTGATTGGCATTTCTTGAGCTACCATTATGTCTCACATCCCGCAATGTCATGTTCTTTTAAAATACTAGTTGCCTTGTTTTTGTTTTGTTGGGATCTTAAGTGGCCACGTTAAGGTTGGGGAAGTTGCAAGTGACCTGTACAACATATCTAATAAGCTATAGGTACTAGTGCTGAGAATGTTCGATTAGCTAAATCTCCAATGAATGCTTCACTAAGTGAGCTAAATCCCACAAGTTCCTTTTTGATGTGTTTATCAATGATAGTTTTGGTTCTGTGATGTACAGCGCTGCACTTTTATGTAACCACCGGTTTCTATCACACTTGCGTCATAATCTTTACTCATTGTTGTTTCTGTGTGGAATTTTGATATATTGATCTGTAACGATGATTTGAATAGAGTGGGATAACTAGATAATCCTTGGTTATTGTTATGTTAATGATCACTTTTGCGCCTTTGTCTTGGTAGTGTACTATTTATATTTATATGTTTTACCGTAACAGGGCTACTTCCAAACACTTTTCTCGTGCATTGAGAGGCTGCTGGCTTTCTTGAATGTGAAAAACCTTGTGCTACCGGCTGCTGAAGAAGCAGAATCTATATGGACAAATAAATTTGGGTTTAGCAAGATGAAACCCGACCAGGTATATATATTTTGCCCAACTACTTACAAGTTAGGGATAGGTTAACATTTTGCCACCTCATTCTTGCATTCTTAAGTTTTACACTTGATCTGCTACTAGATTTCTGTGCTTGATAATTTACTTAGCTGCATTATTTGTCACAAGACTCATGCCCCAACTCAAAATGATCATAGTTTATGTTGCAGCTTACCAACTTTAGAATGAACTGCCATCATATTATGGCATTTAAAGGGACAATTATGCTTCATAAAACGGTGCCTCAATGTCGGGTTATCACCCCTCAATCATGAGAAGTCTATATATAACAAGAAAGTCGATCATGAAAGGGGAAAACCCTAGCTTTCTCATTTCCTTCTATCTTTTTATTCAACTTCTTCTGTACATGTATCGACCTTGTTAAAGCCATTCCTGATCCTATACATAACATTGTTTAACATTTATAATGTCATTTTCTTATTCAAAGATTTTGGCCCCTTGTTAAGCATACCCTAGTTCTTGATCTTTGGCATGTGCTTTGCGGTATAGTAGATGCTGTTGTACATGAATGAGATGCTGTTATCTGGTTTAATTTTTAAATTCGTGTAGCTAATAGTAAAATAAAATAAAATCATTCATATAGTCTGTGCCAATGACTATTAATAGTAAATTAATTTTAAATAAATAATAAGATAATATCATTATTGTTTTACATAAACAGTGGCAAAACATTTATACAAATAATAATATATTCGTATTTAATAATTTTTTTAACTGTAATATCATATTGTTTACATAATATTATCATATATTATTTTGTCTCATCATATTAGATATGAATATAATATTACTATATAACAATTTAGACATTCTTAGATATATAATCAAATACTAACTGTTTATATAATTTTTAAATAACGTGTTAAAGCGAATTGTGGTGATGAAGTATTAAATTTTTTATTTTGTGAAATTTTCTAAACTCAATTTATTTTGTAAAAGATTTAATTTAATGATTGAATTGATAAAATTTGCTTATTATAAATTATGTAAAATCTTATTTTGTTAAATTTGATATCAGGTGGGATTTTTAAATTATATAAGATTTTATTGAATTGATTATTTAATGAAAATTAATTCAATAGTAATATTAATTCAATATTTATAAAAAATTATTATGTGAAATAATTTTATAAAGACTTGCCCGCAAAGTAAATGAATATTTTTCCTATGTGCATATTAATAACAATTTTTATTATATTAATTATAATTCTTTAAAATTATAAATGAAATGGATTAAACAAAAAAAAATCTATATCAATTCATGAATTTAATAATTTTTAATTAATGATAAAAATATATTTTAAAAAAATTATTAATATTACACTTCAAACATTTTATAAAGTTGCAAAAATTCACACTTATACAGGAAGGGATTCCCTTACTTTAATCCCGTACTTTAAAAAGTAAGTCTTGATTAACTTATTCCGTTTAATAATTTTTTATAAATATAAAATTTTATTAATCTAATTTTTAATATAGAAATCAAACTTACAAAATTTTATAAATTTTAAAATGTATTTGATACTTAATTAAATAATGATACATTAATTAAATAACTTTATTTCAATGAAAATATACTTTTAAAATATAAAAAATAATTATAGAATTAGATGTCCAATGAATATTCAGTAAAATTTAATATACATAAATTTTATTACATTATTTAATAATTAAATTAATAAAATTAATGTCTGTAAAAGATTATTAAGAGAAGTGCATAACCTCCATTAAAAAGTTTATACAACCAGGCTTTAACTTCTGACACTATACCATAAATCCGGGTAGAAATGAGATGAATTATATCAGGCATTATAATTTTACTTGACATTTTTTTTAAAAAATTTAGAGGTTTGAATTAGGTTTGTTTATTTGATATATACTTTTTTAATAATAATAATAATAATAATAATTGAATTTATTAAATTTAAAGACTTTTAAAATAATCTGACATATGGCTTTTTTTATTTATTAAAATACATGTTTAATATTTTTTTAATTTAACTTGTTTAAAAGATAGATTTCATTTAATGATGATTTACCTTGACCTTAACGTGAAGTAAGCTAAATCATGGGTGTCAAATAAGCTAACTTTAATTAATTTAGTCTTAATTCATGTAGTTTAGTGCTAAAAATTCATAAGACTAAAAAGTTGATCGTGTAAAAAGTTTATATAGTCAAGTGAGCTAAAAGTAATTTATAGATAAACTATTTTTAAAAATTATTATAATTTATTGAAAATATTTATTTTATATAATATATTTTTTACTATAAATAAATAAAATTACTTAAAAATAGATAAATTTTTTTTATAATATTAAATATTTTTTGAAATAAATTATTGTTATTACAGAATATTAAATAAAATATAATAATTTATTATTAAAATAAGTTATATGTTTATTTAATTTTTATTTGTAATATTGATAATTATTAAATTATACTAACATTTTTCATTCATATAATTTTATAAATAATTTTTTAACATATTATTTTATAATTTTATTCAAGTATTAACTATAAAATCTTTGATATTTTAATATTTTTATATTATTTTATTTATTTATTTATTTTTATAAAATTATTTTAAAGACATTACATATTTAATAAATATTTTTTAAATTCATAATAAATATATAAAATTAATAATAAAAGATAATATTAGTTAAATTTGTTAAATTTGTTAAATTATTTATTATCATAATATTTAAAATAATTTTTTTAATAAAATTTAATGTGTTAAAAAATAAATACAATACTATCGTCATAAAAATAATAAGTATATAATACTTAATATTATAAAATTTATGAACATAGAAAAGTAATTTATGAACTTAACAAAAATTAATGAATATTTATAAATTTTAATTTTAATTAATTTTAAATTAATAAATTTTTTGATATTTTAAAATGTATTTTTACATTTCAAATATAATTTTTAATTAATTTTAAATAAAATAAGTAATAAAATAATAAATAAATATATGTATTCTTTTATTAAAAATAACATAATATTTATTAATTACTCTATTATTATAAAAGGTAAAGTGATTCATCTCTACTTCACATTTTTTTTATATATATATTAAAGCTTAGAATCAAAATAAGCCTACTACCTATCAAGCGTAAAAAAATTATATGATAAATTATGTGAGTTAAACTTGTGTGCGTAGGACCAAATTCACAGCTACACGAATGGTGAGAAATGTTTAGTTTGATAGCGAACAATATTGGATGGGACTTATTGGCAGTAATCGATGAAATAGCAACAACAATGAGAAGTGTTGTGTTCATTTCAATATGATATATAAACATAGGATTTTGTTAACAAGGGCTTGTATATGCAAATTTCTTATAAAAATTTATGCATTTATTGTATTGATATTATAAAAGTATAATAAATATATTTTTTAATTTTATTATTATAAAAAATATATTTATTATATTAAAATTATAAAAAATAAAAATATATTTCTTTTTAATAAAGTTTTATGTTTTAATCCTAACTATTCGCGATAAAATTTAATAGTTAAAATTTATTTCTCTCATTCTCATATATTATATTTAATAAGAAACAACTCTTATTTGAAGATTTTAAAAACTATAATTGTGACTAAACAAATTTATATTAGACGTTAATTAATAGTTAAATGGTTATTTAAGAAAATTGTATACTTTTTTATATTATTGACTATTTAAAGATCTAATACTTTGTATTTATTATTTTGATCACTCTCACAACTAAATGTTCTCACCAAAAGGAAGCCTTCTCCTGTAAAAATACTTGATTAATATAGATAAAAAAAAAGTTGGTTATTACAAGAATAACAACAATAGAAAATTTTATTGTTACTTTAAAATATCTATTGTCACTTACAAGAAAGGATTAAATTATACTAATGGAACTTTAAATTTATTTTTATACAAGTTAATAATTTTTTTTATAGAAAGTAATTTGTATTGATCATACTGTTGAATTGTATTAGACGTTACTTAAATCATTTATTTTAAATTTTGTGAAAATTAAATAATCCTTATTTTTGTATGTTTTAAAAATATGTATTACGTTAATTTTAATAAATTAAAATAAGGTATCAATAAATTTTTGAATAATTTAAAATTCTATAAACACAATTTATATAATTAGAACTTTTAATTTAATGATTAATTTTTATTAAATTATTTTAAAAAATTATTAAATGATGTAAGAATGAATTTAAGTATAATTCTCCTAAACATATAAAAATAGATAAAATTATACTTATATAAATTACACCTATAATTCTTATATAATAATAAATTTATATAAATATAAACTTTTATTTATTATTAAATTATAGTTATGTATCTTAATTATTTATATTAAATTTAGTTAAAATTAAATAACTATAAGAATATAATAAAAAAAAGTGTTTAAATTCTCCGTTGTCACATAAAAAATGGTATTCTTCTAATGCTGAAATTTGACCAATAAACTTTTCTTTGTAAGAATTTGACTTCCACGTTGACAAACTTAATTCAACATTAAAGATTTTCACATTGAAAATAGCTTAATGATTATTTTGTATCACTTAAATGAATACTCATCAAATAGGTCTTCGCTCATGATTTTAATAGTTGCACCTCAATACTATTTTTTCAAAAATTACTAGCTTGACCATTTCAATTAAGTTATATTTATTTGAATTGACAAAGGAAAAAAATGAAATTAAATAATGTTGATTTTTCTCTTAATTGTTTGAGCAACACCTAATGGAATATATTTTATTCTATTTCATTTTATCTAATACTCTTTTTTTTGCATTCAATTTAAAGTATAAGATGTATTAATCAATCTTTTTTTCTTTCATAAAAATAATTAAAAAATAAAATAATAAATTAGTTTAATTCCAATTTAGTCTGCTCCATTTTGTTCAATTGTTTTGGTGTAAATAATGATGTGTTTTAACCTTTATATCTACTCACACGCATAAAAAAGGCAAACTTTTTCATTCGGACTCCGAAGCTATTAAGGAATTATTTTAAAAAATTTATGAACACTTTATAAAAATTACTTATGACTAATAATTTTTTTTAGATAATTTTACAAATTTTCTGGCACAAGTTTTTAAATATGTTATTTTCAACTAATTTTACTATATTTTATGGTTAAATTTATAATATATAAATCATAATTTAAAAATAATTTATTGAATAAATATTTATAAAACATATCTAAATACACTCTAAATTAAATATAAAAAGATATATAATATTCTTATTAAAAAATTACAACAATTTATACAAAAGTTCAAAAAGATAAAAACTTCATTACTGTTTTTCTATTAATTAAAAAAATACAAGTTAAAGGTGTATAGTTATTTTGTCTTTTTATGCTTTTATTGTAAAATAACTTTCGAAATAATATCATTTGTCAAAACAAAAGCTTTCAAGTTAAACACGCCACTTTTGTACTGTGTACATATTGTATCCCAGTACCTACAGCAAATTGAATCAAAATTTACAGGGTACTAAGTACACAGGAAGATCATTTTCGTTTCCACGCTTAATTAATTATTCTAGTTTTTGCAATCTTTTTCTACTCTACTTTTTCTTGATTACAAGGTTTTTTTTTTTTTTTTTGGTTAGAAATCGTCTGTGAGGAAACACGGAAACCAAATATTTCATGAAGTATAATCACTAGCTATCATAAAATCTATTTACTTCACCAACAACCTAGGCTAAAATGAAAAACTATCATATTCATAATTCTAACCTTTAGTAGAATGTTGTTCCATTATATCTTGAACTAAGGATGAAATGTTGTAGCGAGACGAACCTTTCTCCTCCAAAGCCCTTGTAGCAATGTTTCTAAGTTCTGTTGCTCTAGTTCTTCTCTTGTTCCCATCTTCACCTCCTTCCATACACATCTCAATAGCTTCTATGATTCTATTTTTCTTCACTGATATTCCAGCTTTCTTTTCATCACCAAACCTTACCGGGACCTCAACACCTATCCTTACTCCAATCTTGAGGACTTCAACAATTATTTTTTCATTTAAAAATTGTTCAGCAAATAAAGGCCACGTGATCATTGGCATGCCAAAGCACACACCTTCTATTGTTGAATTCCATCCACAGTGAGTCAAGAACCCTCCAATTGCTGGGTGAGAGAGTATTAGAATTTGTGGTGCCCATCCCTTGATCAAAAGACCTCTTCCTTTGATCCTTTCCTCAAAATTTTCATCCTCTAACCACTTTTCTAGCTCTGAAAAATTTTCTCCTATAGTTTTAACCACCCAAATAAAGGGTCGATTTGATGCTTCTAAGCCCAACCCAAGTTCAATTAGTTGTGATGGAACAAGCCTACATAAGCTACCAAGGCACACATAAATAACTGACCTTGGTTCCATTAAGTTGAGCCATTCCAAGCACTGTTTCTCTTCAATAGAAGGTTTGTTTCCTCTCTCAAACTTGTCCAAACTCTCTTTGTTACACAAAGACACCGGACCTATGCACCAAACCCTCTTGTTCAGGACCTTCTCATACTCCTTAGCACACCCATGTTCCAATTCTTCAAAGCTATTTACCACAATCCCATAAGCCGACATTTCAGCCTCACGCATTTTGTCCCTGAAATCATCCAAGTCAGGTAAAGAAACAAATGCTCCTGGAAGCTGTGCTCTTGTTATCTCAACCCTTTGAGGAAGACCCGGTATGACAAAAGGTTCCGAGTCTGAGTTGACACGAAGATGAGCATTGTTGAGTTTAATATTGTAGGAGCTGAGTAATGAGAAACAAGACATTCCATGGAACACAAGCCTTGGAATATTGAACCTTTTGGCTGTTATGGAAGTCCACGAGATGCACTTATCAGATATAATGCAACTTGGTGGAGAAGCATGGTTTTGGAGGTACTGTTCCAATGGTTCTTGAAGCATGTCAATTGCATTGTAGAACTTTCTGAGAAGGTTTCTTGATGGCAAAGTGTCAAGATTCTCACAGCCTAATGGAAGACCCACTTGTTGGCATGGAAATGGGATCTGCAAGAGGTGAATTGGAAGGCCAGATTGTACAGCCCTACAAATTGTTTGCTCAAACCTTGAAGCATTTTGAGGGGTGCTAACCAAAGTCACAATCACCCCTTGCTGCCCCAAGATCTTTGCCATGTCTATCATAGGGATCATGTGGCCTTGAGCAAACAATGGAACCAACACAAAGTGAAAGCCCATGTTGCAAAGAGAAGTGCTATGTGAGTTTGGTCCCTTAGGTTATGGTGTAAATAAACGGATCACACGGCTCAGATTGGGTTGGTTAAGTCTCAATCGATGACCTTGACTTTGAATGTTTCAAATGTGGGCATGCAGCAATCGTTCCCATAAAAACATACATAATTTTTGTTTACTTGGTAATCTTTTCACACCCAAAACACTTGTATATTGCTTGACTTGCAGTGGATTAATTCCGCGTGGATTCAGTCAAGAGTTGCGTGAGAAACGAGAATAAACAATATTGTATTCCTACTATATCACCTATATGCATTGGCAACTACTATGTCGACAACGTCCTATGCTATATGGAGCAGTCATGTATGAATAATAAATTCATATATCGTTCATGAATACTTTATTTTTATTTAGAGCTTTTTTTTAATGTATGGTGTATATATGTTTGGGAGTTTTTCTCAATTTTCTTAGTTAAATTATAATTAATGAGTCATGTAAAATGTCTATAACGTGAATTTTATATTAATATATAAAAATAAAATCTGATAAAAACAAATTAAGCTAAACATACATTGGGTAATAAAATGTTTAGAGCGATGGCTAGGATTGGCAATTAAGACTTGACTTTGTTAACCTTTCAAACAATTTGTATGATCCATCAAGGCAATTATGATATCGGTTGTGTATACAAGAGTAAAAATAAGTAATCAAATATCAAGCAAAAAAGTGAAGTTTTTCTCCTAATAATAATAATAATAATAATAATAATATCGAACAGTACACAAAGCGAAGTTATTTGTCAGATGTATCATGTGTTCATTTAAGATTTTTAAAAGAATAATTTTATTTTGAAAAGTTAATTAAAATCTTAGTCTATGTCATCATAAGATATTTGAAATAATTTCTCAAAATAATGAGAAAATTGATTTTCTTTAATATTCTATTTTTTTTTTCTAAATTCTAACAATAATAAACTTTTAAAAGTTATTCTTTTTTCATATTAAAAAAATGGGCTCTATATTAATATTTTCAACAATAAAAAAGGCCAAAGATATAAAAGTTAAGAAACTTCTAAGTAACTTGATATCCAATTCACTAAAAATTGCTTTTAAACGTATATATCAGTGTCACTACGTCAAATTTAGGCTTTTATAAGTGATAGGATGTCATTTATTAATTATAAAATTTTAACCACCATGTTATTAAAGCAAAGATAACATTTGTTATTAAAGCAGAGAACTAAAGATAGCATTTGTGTGTGTGAAAACAAACTACATAAAAAACAAAGATAACATTTGTTATTAATCGCTCTCCTTGCTTTTGTTATTTTTAAAATTAAAAGAGAAGAATTGAGATCTATTCCAATCTTCACCGATCCCTAGAATGTCTTCTTTTTCTTTGAGCTTTCCTGATGTATCAGCCAAGTTAATAGAACCCGTGGTTCAAAGTAACAATTATTCAACCATCCACCACTAAACCAAAGATTTTAAAAATTATACAATCAAATGAATGAAGATATGTAACAAAGTATGCATCTAACATATTGGCTTTGCTATTTCATGCTGGAGTTCACTGTGTCGGCTGTAATAGTATACAACAGTCGTTGGTTTTTTATGAGATATTGTAGGACATATCTATGTCCTTGAATCTAGTGAATTGGTTAAAGTACCTTTTGTACTTCTTTTAATTATATGCTTTAGCTTACAAAAAAAACCTATAACAAATGATGACACTTTATAAGGAAAAGAAAGAAAGAAAGAAAAAGGAATCAACAAGCAGACCCTTTAAGCATGCCAACGGCCATATTTGAATTCATGAGAAAGAAACAAACGTTGATCTTCTTGTAACCAGAGGCCACCGAATCTATCATCGCCAACCACCAATTCTATAGCCTTTTCGTGCTTCCTACACACACCATATATAGTCTCAACGATTGGCCCTTCTTGTTGATTGAAGCAATGCTTCTTTTGTATATGATGATGTCAACCTAACAGCATGCCATGAAGTCCTCTGTGAACACAACAGCAAATTAATTAAATGATCAATGCAAAAGAAATAAAATCATATAGAAGCAAAACAACAGAGAAGGAGATTGAAGGAGGAAAATGTTTACCATTTTTTTACGGAGTAGCTGAAAGATGTTGGCATGATTAGGACATAAGTAGCTGAAAGTGTCAACAAAGAGAGCAACACATGTTTCCATGCATGCATGTGTTTGAGTTAGGGAAGCTTGTCTTCTTGTGCAATACTAACCCAGAATTAGAATGAAGTAGGCAGTTAGAGATTATAATTCGCATCATACGAGGATTTATTTATATTTTTAAATTTTGAACAAAAGAATTAGAGAGAGGTCCTAGTTAAAACCATTTTGTTAGGCTAACATGTATTCCTCCAACATAGCAATTATATATAGAACTATTGGTATTGAAGTTTTATATTGCTATAATAGATCTCTATGTTTTTATTATTAGCGGTTTGTCATATATAAAATTATTATTATTTATTTATGCACTATTAAAAGCAAGTTTTGGTGTGCCATCCATGATAATTTTAATTATTTTATTTCGAATTATTCGATATTTAATGTCGCATTCAAACTATAGTTCTAGATAGGTACATAAATGTATAATTTTAAATAAAAAAATGTAATAGCAGGACGAGGGGTAATCCAATCCTTATATCAAAATTTTCTATTAATGTGTAATACACAAATAAATTATCGAACCAGTAATAACAACGGAGTAATAGAAACCATTGAATATAGCTTTAATTCGATGCTTTAGATCTAATCTTGAATAAAATTACAACTTTATTTAAATCTAGTATAGAATTTATAAATATAATTTCATTTCTATGTACGTAGTCAAAACACCAAATTAGCTACAGAACCACCCAAAGTTCATTTGCTTTTCTTTCTAGCTATATATAGACGATTCTAGCAAGTTGCTAAAAGGGGGCCTTCTTCAATAAAAAAAAAGGCATCACCTTGCAACACTCATACCAATTGTAGCATTTTGACCATACTAAATAAGCAAAATAACAATAACACCTTTAGAGGCTTCCTGATCATTGTTACTGCAGAAAGGATAATGATAATCTTGATTTGTGTACAAAATTTCCTTTCTTTTTGAGATTTTCTCTCAAGTTTGCAATCTATACGAGAGTTCTCCAAGCACACGAACCTCTAAAGGAGCACTCCTAAACCAGAATTTTCTGAAGAAATTATTGTCACTATCAGGAGCGCAATTTTGCAACATAATTTATGAAGATTTTGAAATTTATATGCCAGCTAAATCATAAGTCCACATCCATTCGCCTACGTTTAAAATGTTTTAATATGTACTGAATTGATCACATTCGTTGGATTATTCAATAGCTCATGTTCCCATGCAAACAGATTTCTTCTCCAAGTCAAATTCCATTCCCATAGATCATTGGAGTACCTACCCACCTCTTCAATTATATATATGGTTAGGTAGAGGAAATCCAATGAAATAACATGATTGTAATCGTAAAAAAAAAAAAAAAATTGAAAAAAATGTAATGGACAAAATTGTATGTTAGTTGTAATAAAATGAGTCGGTACATGTTTAGTTTAACATATTCTTAAAAAAAATTGTTTATTTTTGCAATTTCCTTTCAAAAAATTAAAGCATTCTTTTCTTAAAATTAGTCAAAACCAAACATTCACTAAAAGTATACGTTTAATCTAAATTTTTAATATAGTAAAAATATAGAATTAGTTAGCACTTGTTTTCTTAAGCATATAAAAGTATGCAATAATACATTTAAGTTTAATTCAACTTTTATTCATAAAGTTTAGATTATATTTACATTTTTTTTAATGTTTTATGATTTAATTATGTTTTTGTTCAATTGTTATAAATATTAGATATTTTGTAATAAATTTTTATAAAAATTTTTTTGCTAAGATTTGATCCCTAAAAAGTTAAGTTAGAATTTAGTTTTATTGTTAATTCTGAGTAGCAAACGAGATGCGTGATATGACACATCATTTAATTTTTTATTATTTAAAATTAATATTTATAAATAAGTTCATAAATAAATTTTATATATTTACAAATAAGTCTCTTCTTCTCCTTCTCCTTCCTCGCTACCCACTCCTCCCCTTCCCTTCCCTCTCCTTCTCTACTCCATCTTCAACTCTAACTCTCATTCCTCTTTCTCCACTCCACCCTTTTCTTGTCATTCACCTCACACTCTCAACTCTAACTCAACCTCTTCTCTCAACTACATGTGCATCAAATATATAAATTTTTTAATAACCACACTCACAATAACAACAAAAAATAAAGATGTGCAGAGTAAAAGTGCAAGGTAGGATAAAGATGAAGTTAGGAGCAGAAAGAAGATGCATGAGGAACAAGATGGGATGTGTAGTGGGGAGGGTGTGGGGTTGGAGAAGAGGTAAGGTTAAAGTTGGAGTGAAATAGGAAAAAAAAAGAAAAGAAAGAGAATGACTTATTATAAGTATATAAAATATATCTAAGGATTTAGGGTCCAAAATGATTTTAAAGGTTAAAAAATTAGTGTAAATTTAATAAAATAAATAATTTTGTAGGATGTAAATTTAGGCTTTGAAGAAAAAAAATTTAAAGAAAATTTTGATGTTTGGATTAATAAGTTTTGAGTGGAAGAATATACAAATTAAATTAATAGATTTAATTTATTAAGATTTTAAATAGAAATGATAATAAAATTAAAAACTTTAATGAATACTATATCTTGGCATCCAACACTGCAAGGGTTTTCTAAATAGACCCAAGAACTTTTTTCTTGGTTTTGCAAAAAGGAATGAGGTAGCACTGTGAGGGTTCCATTCCTACATCTTGACGTCATCTATTTTTTCTATTAAAGGAAGTCTAAAAAAGATCAGTATTGTGAGAGAATCTTCAACTCCAACTTTGTCCACTTTCCTCACAGACAACGAAGGGATAGAGTAGTCAGATGGAGAGAAAAGACTAACGAAGGAGCTAGATTTGACCTCTCAAAGCTTGAAAAAGGTCAAGATAAGGTTGAAATCGCTATTGGAGGAACAACATACAAGCATGCAAAGAGGTCGAACTACTGAATCTCAGTCAAATAAGGTGATATCTAAAACTTCTTTGTCTATGTCTTAGTCATATAGAGATATTAATTTTGAAGACCTCAATATAGGCTCGGACAATGATGAGTGCAATGATATGTCTAAAATCTCTCCTAACTTTTGTCTTGAAATAAAGATCCCCCTTGGAAGACTATGAGATGTGGTACTCCCCTTGAAAATCTACTCTTCTAGTCAAATTATTAGAAAAAACTATAAAGTTTAATTACCTGAATTCGAAACTTAATACTATCTAGGATAAAAATGAAGCTCTAAAGATTCTTGATCTTAATAATGAATTCTTTTTAGTAAAATTTGAAAACTTAGAAGATTATAAGATTACTCTATTTGAAGGTCCTTGGCTGATCTTGGACCATTACCTCCTTGTTCATAGGTAGAGACCTCTATTTAGGCCTAAGGACTATAATCTTAGGAAGCTAGTTATCTAGGTTTGCATCCCTAACCTTCCGTTAGAACTTTATAATGAAAAATTCTTATGCATGTAAGGACTTGCCTAGGAACAATGTTAAAAATTGACGCTCACACTTCTCTATTATCCAGATGTAGGTTTGCTAGGATCTGTATTGAAATAGATTTAAGGAAGAGATCGATCTCCTGTTTTAGAGTGTTAGGCCAATAATTCAAAGTAGAATATAAAAATCCTACGCCTTATTTGCTTTAAATGTGAGAAATATGGGTATAGACAAGAAGCTTGTTGTGAAATTGTTATAATTAGCCAGGAGCAGATAGCCCAAAGAACTGAATTAATGAAAAGTAAGGATAATAACAATAGTAAGGACCCTGAAGGGAGGATTATGAGTAACCAGGAGGGAAAGGAGACTCAGGATTAGGTCTAATTTGGCCCTTGGATGCTAGCCAAAAAGCCTTTTAGGAAAAAGCCCACTCAGCCTCTATCCAATAGTACTACCCACCCCCAATCTTAAAAGTAAATAACCTTTTTTAGGTTCCAGATTTTCGGGGATGATCTTTGGAATTTAAGAAAGGAAAGGTATCTTAACCTTGAGAATAACATAGATAATGCTAAAGATACTAAGATTATCAATGAAGAACCAAAACCTCTAAGAAAACCAGATAAGAGTCCTAATAAGGTCAGTCAATTCAATAGACCTAAAAAAACTATTAAAGCAAAATTAACCCCTAGAACTGGGAAATAGACTAAAGAGAAGACTAATAAGGGTCTGTCTGACCCTATACCTGAACCTTGTGTGGCTCAAAAAAACTCCCTTAAAGATATTCAAGAGAACCAAGTCATTTTAAAAATAATGTCTGAGTTCCAAAAAAAATTACAGAAAGATGGTAGTATACGACACTTCATTTAGGACCTCGTTGGCCTAAATTCTGATTACCTTTTGAATGATTAGGGAGATTTAGATAGCTCCCATCTTGATGGACCCCCTGATCCCCTCCCTTCTATGGAGTTAGACTTCTACTTTGAGAGGGACTTATTGAACCCTCAGGACCTACAAAGTTTAGACTGCTAGTTAAATGGACCTCAACATTCTAAGGATACAAGTACTCGTTA